CCCATTGTATGGCCCTGTGAAGTATCCACTCAGTCACTCACACACACACCTTACTGGGAAACGAAGTAGTACTCACTCCACACTTAGGTCAGCTACACATTGTACTTTCTCACACATGCAATGCGCCAGATACTTCACCACACACTACCTCCCATTCTTCCCTTTTCCCTACACCAGATCACCATCTGATGTACCCAGCCACCTAGCGTACTCAGTTCCCCTTTACTGAGACGCAGAAGTTTGATCAGGACTTCTCTTCCTCCCAATTAATTGGAGGGCCAAAACCCCTTAGTGCACTTACCCTTAGCTGGTTCCCTGTTTATTTCTCTGGTCCCCCCCGGTCCGTCGCCGTCGGTGGGCAGGGTATCAGACAGACGAGACTGCTGCGTTCCCCTGGAAAAAATTTTTCCATTGCGCGCTGGGTAGGCACAGTTGTCCTCTCTCTTGTACCCTGCTCAGTAGGCGAAGGAGCTGCGTTCCAGCAGACCACTGATCCGAGTCGCAGGCACCATAAAATGTAGCACCCTGCTTGTGGTTAACGCTTAGCTGGAATGAAATATTCAACGCAGCAACAGAGAAATTAAATAATAATTTATTTGTCAGACAAATAAATGAGAGGCACAGTGGTATATGGTTACCAAGCTCTGGCCTGGCCTCCTGCCATTATGGCCAGCACTTATATTCCCTTAATCCAGCCCCCTTTGCTCCTCCTTGGGCTGCCTCTGTCCCATCAGCCTGGTTGAAATTCCTATTGGCTGATTAGTATAACCAATCACAAAAATACACTCATATCCTCCTGTCCTTATAAGGGAGACAAAGAGCTATATATAAATGACAAATAAGTAATAATATATCTTACATGGAATCTTAATTACCAGCTCACCTCTTGCCCTATTGCCTTCTAAAACAAATGGTTAATCTTAAATTTTTATCTTAAACATATGTCAAGGATCTTGAGTTTCACATCAATATTGAAAGATCTCCTTCATTTGAAGGTTTCTAAACAAATATCTGACAACTTATATATCAGAAATTGCTCGGATGGCGTCTTCTTGTCTGGCAGGGGGCTGGACTCATCTGCCCCCCTGGTCTCCTACAGCAATATGACTCTATGAAATAAGAATTTAACATTTCTTTCTTTCTAGATCCTTTGCATAATTACATTTAAGCCAGGATATTTCATACACTATCATAGATAGCTTTTTAGAAGGATAAACTTCCTAAAAGTAACAAGGAAGGAACAGTTTACAGCCTCAAAATAAAATAGGAAAAAAAACCTCTTCCCCTCTTCACACTTCCCCCCCTTCTCCAGCCGGTTTGTTTTCCGTGTGCCCTTGACCTTTTGTCCTGTGGCTCAAGTTTAAGAGAGGCCCATGGTTTTATTTTACTGTTTACCTACCACTTTTTACAACTTAGTTGTACTCCACAGCATGCAAGGTCAGTGACCTGCTTCTCAGCCTTTCTATGACCGCAATAAACCAGGGGGCCCCTTTGCTTGCCAGCTGCTTGCTGGTTTTCTACCTTGGAAGAAACATTATTTTTAGAATTTTAGGAACCTGATCAAAATATAAGCCAATATATGCCTTGATTAAAAATGCAGTCTATATTCAGATGCCACACCACGTGTCTGAAATAGTACAGGAAAGCAATCCTGAAGCCATTTGGACTCTCCCAATGACCTCAGAGGAACGTGGGTGGAGCTGTGGGTTAAAACACAGAGCCTAGGACTTGCTGATCAGAAGGTCGGCGGTTCGAATCCCCGCGACGGGGTGAGCTCCCGTTGCTCGGTCCCTGCTCCTGCCAACCTAGCAGTTCGAAAGCACGTCAAAGTGCAAGGAGATAAATAGGGACCGCTCTGGCGGGAAGGTAAACGGCGTTTCTGTGCACTGCTCTGGTTCGCCAGAAGCGGCTTAGTCATGCTGGCCACATGACCCGGAAGCTGTACACCGGCTCCCTCAGCCAGTAAAGCGAGATGAGCGCCACAACCCCAGAGTCGGTCACGACTGGGCTTGTGGCTCTTATCTTGCTTTACTGGCCGACTAAGCGGGGCATGAGCAGAACCCCCACTTTCCTCGTGCCTCAAACCCCTACCTCATGGAACTGTCGTGTTCGAGGGGACCCGAGGGTCATGTAGTCCAAACCCAGCAATTAAACCACACATGACAGGTGTTTGCCCTTGCGGAGTGACAAAACTGTTCCTTTGCTGGAAGAAAAGCAACTTTGTGATCAGAGAGCCCTTTCTCTTGTGAGTTTCCTCTTATAAGTTTCAGTTTCCATTTCCCCCGGAACGTATTTGCATTTCTCAAGCACCCTCTGCAGTCCTTGCACAGAAGCTGCTACATCCCAGCTATGGCCAGGCTGACTCTAGGGGGAAAGACCACCCTTCCTTGGAGGAAATGGTCCTGGGGGAAGGCAGAACGAAGGAAGCCAGTGTCCGCTTCTCCGAATCCTGCTTCTGTTAGGTTGGGAGGGAGTGTGTCCGTTCTCTGAGCCACCAGGTCCCAATTCCAGATTATTTCCTACTTTTCAGACTGCAGAGAGAGCCAAGGTGGACCTGGGGGTTCCTCTGCATGACGTAACTGGAAGCCTTTTTCGGACCATTCAAAGAACTATTATAATATGAGCCTAGGGTTTGCCGATCAGAAGGTCGGCGGTTCAAATCCCCACGACAGGGTGAGCTCCCGTTGCTCGGTCCCTGCTCCTGCCAACCTAGCAGTTCGAAAGCACCCCCGGGTGCAAGTAGATAAATAGGGACCGCTTACCAGCGGGAAGGTAAACGGCGTTTCCGTGCGCTGCTCTGGTTCTCCAGAAGCGGCTTAGTCCTGCTGGCCACATGACCTGGAAGCTGTACGCCAGCTCCCTCGGCCAGTAAAGCGAGATGAGCGCCGCAACCCCAGAGTCGGCCACGACTGGACCTAATGGTCAGGGGTCCCTTTACCTTTATGACTTCCCTTGATCCAGACACTAGACTTCTGTTGATGCAGCCTAGAATGGCATTAGCCTTTTTTGCTGCTGCATCACACTGTGGGCTCATGTTCAGCTTGTGGTCCACCAAAACCCCCAGATCCTTTTCCCAGGTACTGCTAGTGAGCCAGGTGTCCCCCATCCTATATTTGTGCATTTGGTTCTTCCTGCCTAAGGGCAGAATCTGACATTTGCCCCTACGGAAATTCATTTTGTTCGTTTGGGCCCAGTTCTCCAAGCTGTGAAGGTCACCTTCATCCCCCTTCTCTCTGCCACCTCTAGGCCCAAGCAGAAAACACCTCTGTGCCAGAGAGATCCTTTTTTATTCGTCCAGTGGAGCGATGGCAGACACCCTCTTCCACAATACATCCAGACTGCGTCTCCCCTTGGGGAGAGTGGGTTACAACCAGAGGGAGATTTGGGAGTGGTGGGCTCCCTGTGGAAGATCTTCCCATTCTGGTCTCCACCAAAACCCATTGGCTGATGGCAACGTCTGTCACCATTGGCACCTAGAAAGGCATCAATGAGGACTAGGATTGTGCTTGGCTTGCACAATCACTGCGCACAGACACCACCCAGTGGCGTAGCGTGGGGGGTGCAGGGGGGGCCGGCCGCACTGGGCGCAACATCTGGGGTTAGGGCAAATCCACAGGTTAGGGGGCGCAAATCCACGGGTTAGGGGGCGCAAATCCACGGGTCAGGGGGCGCAAATTACTTGCCTTGCCCCGGGTGCTGACAACCCACGCTACGCCACTGACACCACCAGGTGAGTTCTATGAGGAAACTGACCAGGTAGAATAAATCCTGCAACTGAGACATTTTTTTGGGTTGTACATAATTCATTCTGGCTCCACGGTTCAAGTTTTTGGCTTAATTTTTGGGAGGCAGTGGAAAAGGCACAGAAGGGAGTCAGTGAGGACTAGAACCATGCTTCAAAATGAAGGCTGGAATTCTCCCCTGTGGAAGATCTTCCTATTCTGGCTCCCCCTCCCAGTTTGCAGCCCCCCCCCCAAATCTGAGAAATGTTCTCTCTCTTCATTCATCCGAGTTATTTAGAAAGAAGGGGGCCCCAAACCCATTGGCCGATGGCAACGGCAGCATCGGCATCGGCACTTAGAAAAGCATCAATAGACCTCAAATATTCCTCTGTGGGAAGGGAGGCAAATGGGGAAAGCCTTCCCATTGCCTTTTTGCTTACAAATCCTGTCTTAAGGGCGTATTTGCCTATGGATAGGGTGAGCCTGTGGATTCAGGAACTAAAATATTAACCATCACAAAAGGATGGGCAGGCTGCCCAGGCAATGCAATCAGTGATCATTATCAGGTATCCCGGCAAACAGGATTTTTGCTGGAGACCACCTCCTTCTATGATTAAAAAGAAAAAACTAAAAAATTGGCCAGTATCACCTTAGGGACCAACTAAGTTGTTCTGGATATAAGATTTCATGTGCATGTTCTGTTATACCCAGAACAACTTCACCTTGCCAACAAAGGTCCGTATAGTTAAAGCCTTGGTTTTCCCAGTAGTGATGTATGGAAGTGAGAGCTGGACCATAAAGAAGGCTGATCACCAAAGAATGGATGCTTTTGAATTATGGTGATGGAGGAGACTCTTGAGAGTCCCATGGACTACAAGAAGATCAAACCTCTCCATTCTGAAGGAAATCAGCCCTGAGTGCTCCCTGGAAGGACAGATCCTGAAGCTGAGGCTCCAATACTTTGGCCACCTCATGAGAAGAGAAGACTCCCTGGAAAAGACCCTGATGTTGGGAAAGGTGGAGGGCAGAAGGAGAAGGGGACGAGATGGTTGGATAGTGTTCTTGAAGCTACCAGCATGAGTTTGACCAAACTGCGGGAGGCAGTGGAAGACAGGAGGGCCTGGCATGCTCTGGTCCAGGTGGTCACGAAGAGTCGGAAACGACTAAACAACAACAACAAGATGCTACTGGACAATTTTTTAATTTTGGGGGGAAGGATTCTGCAGACCATCACGGCTACCTACCTGAATCCTTCTATGATGTATTTATGATGTTTTGGGGGGGTGATCTTGGGCTACAGGGTGGGCAATTTCAAAAGTCTATATAAGGACCTGCACACTATTGTTCAGGGTTCCTGTGTGCGGTGAGAGGAGGACCCTGTTTCAACAGATTAATAAAGATCAGGCTTACTAGCTGCTTTGCTTCTCAAATATACTCTGGTTGGTCTCTGTTATTCCCGTCTACCGATAGAAAACCAGCATAAGGACTCTATACGGGCTCTTGGATACCCCATGCTATGGTGTCCAAACTTTTTTCAAAGAGGGCCAGATTTGTTGAAGTGAAGGGCTGTGAGGGCCGACCAAAGTTGTTGACCTTTTTAGGTTTGAAGTTGTTGTTAGGCTTTTACCCCAGGAGATATACTGCCACAGGGGCCAGATTAAACCGATTTGCGGGTGAGATTAGGCCCCCAAAACAGACTTTGGACATGCCTGCGAAGGGAAAGGGAGCAGGTTTTTTCGTATAACACCTGTGCATTAATTTCACTGTTTCACCTTGTTTTGAGCCTTTTTTTTCCTTGTTAACAATCAAGCGGCGTGTAAATTTTATGGAATAAATACATTTTTAAAAAGTGTTCATCCTACAATGGGTGGGGAAACCCAGCCAGATGGGCAGGGTATAAGAAATAAAATGGTTGTCTGTTGTTGTTGTTGTTACAATGAAAAGAATGGATGGTACCCAACCAGCCCTCAACACCGGCATCTATGGTTTTAAAGATCCTCAGCAGTTGGCAACTCTAACACCCAATCTGGCTTTTTTAAAAAAAAACAACAACTCTGGGTTTGATCTCAAGCGCTTCCATCAAATAAATCTGGTTTCTTGCACTCAGGCTGAAATGAACAAATGCTCTTCCACAAGCTGCACTTGGCTCCGCCCTCTTCCCACGGAACCCACAGGCTCCGCCCTCTGCCCCGCCCCAAACCCCATAGGCTCCTCCCCCAGCCATATCAGTCAAGGTGGCCCTTGGCCCTGGCCGTTCTCCAGGTGTTTGGAAGTCAAGGAAGGAAATCAAAGGAAGGCACCAGAGAAGGAGACTGGAGTGATAAAACATGTAGAGCTTTGTTTGCAAGCGCGAAGCCGGGGGAGCAGGCGGGTCTCGCTCATAGGGCCACGTCGCGCGGGTGGAGCAGGGAGAAGGCGCCGTTCTTGCGGAAGAAGCTGTCGATGCGGCACTTGGGGGTGGGGGCGACGTGGCTGGTGGCCAGCTTCCCTGGGGAGACAAAAATGGGTCAGGGTGAAGAACAGCAGAGCCACCTGCAGGATCAGGCCAGAGAGTGGCCCAGCTACTCTAGTGTCATCTAATAATAATAATAATAATGATTGAAAACTTTAGCAACTTAACTTCAAATATAATTTACATCCAGCATTTCTATAAGCCAAATAAGCGTTCCTTAAGGCTTCCTTCCCAGTTTTCCCAGTAGTGATGTATGGAAGTGAGAGCTGGACCACAAAGAAGGCTGATCGCCGAAGAATTGATGCTTTCGAATTCTGGGGCTGGAGGAGACTCTTGAGAGTCCCATGGACTGCAAGAAGATCAAACCTCTCCATTCTGAAGGAAATCAGCCCTGAGTGCTCACTGGAAAGACAGATCGTGGAGCTGAGGCTCCAAGACTTTGGCCACCTCATGAGAAGAGAAGACTCCCTGGAAAAGACCCTGATGTTGGGAAAGATGGAGGGCACAAGGAGAAGGGGACGACAGAGGACGAGATGGTGGGACAGTGTTCCTGAAGGGACCAGCATGAGTTTGACCAAACTGCGGGAGGCAGTGGAAGACAGGAGTGCCTGGCGTGCTCTGGTCCAGGGGGTCACGAAGAGTCGGACATGACTAAACGACTAAACAACAAGGCTTCCTTCTTTATGCGGCACTCTTGGTCAAACCAACAGTGCTCTTTAGCAGTGCGTGGCTTGCCGGCTCAGTTTACGTTGACAGAGACCACATCCTGCAAGGACTCAATGAGATTTTCGTAAGCCGTCAGGGAGGAATCTAGTGATAAATTGTTTATTACAACTGATCTTAATTGCAGTTTGTTTGTGTGCTCAAGACATCGATTCCATAAAACATATTTTACTGAACTGTGCGAAATATGAGCAAGCCAGGGCTGAACTGATATTACCCTTGCTGGTACCTTTCCTGGGAAAATCAGAGGCTCACTATGTCAGGTTCCTATTGGAAGACCGGACAAACTCCAGAACATTAGCAGTGGCGAAGTTTTTATCGGTGGTTGCAAGAACCAATGATCCCTATATTCTGAACAAAATGCTCGTTTAACCTGGAGGTAGGCTGTATGAATTATGTATTGCTTTGTAACGATTTGTTGGGTTTCTGGACCGTAATAAAGATTGATGATGAGCTGACATCCCCCTTGCAAAATAAAACTACCTCCCACCCTTGCCTCTGGGGTATCTTTCTATGCCCCCCCCTTGTTCTGCTGCACTGTATGGTGGAATCTACACCCATATATTTTTTTTAAAAAAATGCTGCAAAAATGCTTTTTTAAAAAAACCATGTTTCGAAAAATACATTAAGTTTGGCATAGCTCGCCGCCGCCATCTGATGTCACATTTGTGTATTGCACTTTGCAACGCATTTAAAACGTTTCATTTGCAGCCGTAAGTCCTGCCAAACTAAATCTAATACGTATTTCCTCTAACGCATCTCTTGTCATTTTCAATCCGCTGCTCATAATTCAAATCCTGCCCGCGATTTCACTTGGTTATGGTTCTTTCCCAGATATTCTGAGAAAGGGTTTCCACTCTTCAACGCAGAGTTTGCCGTTTTGATTTCTCCTTTCCGGCGTCCGCCAATTCTGCAGAGCCTATTAGTTTTGCATGACATTCCTCTTTAGTCTGGTCTTCTTCTTCCCGCCAATTCTGTGTCTATAGGATTCTGGCGGCTGTTTGCGTACATAAATAGTTTGATCATATTTTTTGGTACGTTTGTCCCCAATATCCCCAGAAGAAAAGCTTCAGGCTTTTGGAGAATTGCTAATTTTAACATCTCAGCACCCAGTGTCAGGAGTTAAGCCTACACTCGAGTAGGACCCTGGCAGAGACACATGCCCGACTGGCATGTTCCCTCCCTCCTGGTCGATCGTTTGGGAGCTTCAAAAGCTTTCTTCACTTCCGAACATCACATCGACCGATGCCAACAGACATCGGCACACTTAGGAATCCGCAGAGTCTTTGCAGCTTTTCGTGACAGACCTCAGCAACTCAGCATTTTGGCTAATCTACTTTATTTACATATAAACACACACGGAGCACTGCAACATGGCTCCCTCTCTCTCTAGCATCAGACAGCAAAGAGAAAAGAACAAAGGACAATAGTCCCACTTCACAGAACACAGTAACACAAACATCCTGTCTCCGTCACTTCCCACTCTGTGGAGTCAAAACATACACCGTCATGTGATAGACAAAAATCCCATGACTGCAATCATGGAGCAGGAATTCTAACACCCAGCTCCCACAGGGGCCAACGAGATGCCCCCCAAAGGGAAACCTGCAAGCAGGATTTGAGCACAAGAGCAACTCTCCCTTCCTGCAGTGTCCAGCAGTTCAGAAGCTGTGTAGGCAGAGCATGGTCTGTTAGAATTCCTGCTCCGTGACTGCAGTCATGGGATTGTTGTCTTTCACCTGATGGTATATGTTTTGACTCCACAGAGTGGGAAGTGGCGGAGAACAGCAGAGAACAGCATTGGCCTTTTTTGCTGCTGCATCACACTGTTGGCTCATGTTCAGTTTGTGGTCCACCAAGACCTCTAGATCTTTTTCTCGTGTACTGCTAGTGAGCCGGGTGTCCCCCATCCTATATTTGTGCATCTGGTTCTTCCAGCCTAACTGCAGAACCTGGCATTTGTCCCTATGGATCGGTCCCGCTTTGGTCAAACCCAGCTGTAGCCAACTGCTCTCCCGATGTTCTTCTGTCCTTTCCCGTCCGCCCTGCCAGGTTCTCTGGAACCTGGTTCTCCGGGTTCTCTAGAATAGCATTGGCCTTTTTTGCTGTTGCATCATGCTGTGGAATCATGTTCAGCTTGTGGTCCTCTAAGACCCCGAGATTTCTGTGGAGGGAGCCCAGAATAGCAACCTGACATTGCTGCGCAATCCAAATCCGATTCCCGCCCACCAGCCTTTTCCGGGGGGGGGGGGGGCAGGACTCCCTTCCTCTCCTAGCAGCTGTAAGGAATGATATGGTTTGAATGGACCTAAAATGGTTGGAGACCACCAACACAAAACGGATGCTGTTGATGAACTAATAACGAACTGTGTTGGTCAAAGAGCCAATGGAATGTGCATGTTCTGGCCAAGTGAACGCTTTATGCAAGGAAGCATAAAGACTGACTATACTACACTAGTTGCAAACAGTGAGTGTTGAAACATGCCAAAAGCTACTCAGCACTAGTTCCGAGCAATGAGTGTTGTGATTTGCCAAGAACAGGCCAAGGACAAAGGACCTCTTGTTATTAAATATACAAAGAAAAAAAGCCCACCAAAAACACTGGCCAATATAAGTTTCAGCAGTGGGAGGGGTCCCTACTCGCAAATCAATAGTCAATAATTCGTTACAGCATTAGAGAAAATAAGTTATAAAACATCTAAATTCTAAATTATCTTAAGTTATAATAATTTAGAATTTAAATGTATTTTTGTGTAATGTTTGACACTTCCAGCTGATGAAGGTGAATACATTGAAACAGGGCCCTGTCCTGATTTCTGATCCATAATTTGACTTCTGACTAAAGGGAAGTTTTCCTTCTGCCCATACCTGCTGCATTTTGGAGAAGCCTTGCACCTTTTCTCTTGCATTCTGGAAAGTCTTGCTTATAATCTTTTCCCTGCTTTTGCACACACTGTACAGTTCTGTTCCAAACACCAGGACATTCTTTTCCTTGCTCAGTCCACCCTAAGTTCATGATGACTTGTTCTTTATGCCTAGCTGACCACATCTACAGAACTTGGTTGTTATATTGTTTCGTGCCATATTATTCTCTAGTTACAATTTAATTAGGAGGCTTCACGCCTGTCTAGTTCTAGCTTCGATTCCCAGCCTTTAATCCATCGATAATAAATGATCACACGTAATCCCCATCTCTCACATGTAATTCCCGCCTTATGCTTATGTATCAACCAATCAGCAACAAGCACACCTGTGGCAATGTTTGTAACATTCAATAAAAGAGGCTCCCAGGGTCCGCCCTGACCAGACGCCTCATGTTGCACCTGCCTCTCTCGTCTCCTGTGATTTTTCATTCCTACATCTGGTGACCCACGACGTGCCAGATCCCTTGCGCAGCCGAGCAGCCAGCCAGCCCTCATACTTCACTTCGACTGGAGAAGTCTCAAGCGCGCTGTTTCGTGAGTATGGGAGGGGAATTGAGTAAGCTTCAAAAATTGCATGCTAGGGAATTACTGCAGCTGGTTAGGCAAAGAGGGGTGGGTGTACATATTTCTTTAAAAGAGATTGAACAATTGCTAGGTGAGATCGCATTCCAATGTCCCTGGTACCCTGAGGCAGGCTCCTTGGGGGTAGAGGCTTGGCAAAAGATTAGGAAAACTCTTTTTGCAGAACCCAGGGCTCCTATTCATTGTCTGCTAACTTGGCAGAAATGTGCAGATGCCGTGGCAAAATTAGGACCTCAGGCGTCCCAGGCGTCTCCCACGGCTCCTGCACTTCTAACTATTGCTGACAATCCCCCTCCTCCTTATCCCAAACTGCTGCCTTCACAACCTGTGCTTCAGCCTGCTTCCACCCCCCCCATCCCCCCTTCCCTCCCTCCTGTGTCTCCTTTGTCTCAGCCCACATCTACTTCCCCCCTCTTTCCTCCCTCCCTCCTGCCACCCCTCCCTTGCCTGCCTCAGCTCCTGCCTGTTTCACGGGAGCTGTCCGTGTTGCACTTTCTCAAGCTAGGCAGAAAGGTCTCCTTTCCTTAGAGGAAGAATCTGAGTGGGCTGGTGAAATGCCATCAGCTTTCCCTGTCTCCAGCTCAACCCCATCAGCTTTCCCTGTCTCCAGCTCAACCCCATCAGCTTTCCCCATTTCCTACACAAACCCAGGCACTGCGCAGCAACAGGTGTTGTACGAAACCCTTCCCTATTCTGTAATGAGAGAATTGAGAAGGGCCATTGCTGATTCCGGTTTAAAATCTTCCTATGTGACAGGAATGCTGGAGGGAATAGCAACTGCTTCAACTGCAATCGCCCAGGTCATTTTGCTAAACAATGCAGAGCCCCTGGCGGTGGGGCACACAGGAATGGTGATGCCAATAAGGCTAAACCTTCCAAAAAATGTCCAAAATGCGGTAAAGGCTATCATTGGGCAAATCAGTGCAGGAGTTCGGGAAACTCCTTAGGGGCCCCACTCCCGGGCCAGGACAAATAGGGAGCCCCCCGCCGTTAGTCTCCACTATTAAAACCATCTCAAAGGATACACGCTCTGATTTTACCATTGATTTAATTAATCAGGAAACCAAAGACATTGTTTTACCTGGTGAAATCGTGCTCATGCCTTCCCAATTGAAAGCCCCCCTACCTCCTAAAGTCGCAGGTTTAATTTTACCCAAATTTTCTGCGGCAAAAGAAGGAATCCAGGTTATTACTGGTGTTCTGGATCCTGACTATGTGGGCACAATCATGGTTCAACTTTGGAGCCGTACGCCCATGCAATTAAAAAAGGGTGAGTCTTGGGCGCATTTGGTGGTGCTCCCTTCTCATCCTACTGCTTCCATTATGGATATTAATTTGCACGAGCTTTCTTTTTCCCCTCCACAGCTTTTAACTGTAGTCCAGAGGATTGGTGAGAAGAAACTTCTTCGTAAGTATAGAATCAATGGTATTGTGTTGGAAGGCTTGATTGACACGGGCGCAGACATTTCTGTAATTTCCAGTGATTGCTGGGACCCCACGTGGCCCCTTGAGTCTGCCTCTGCAGTCTGGGGTGTGGGTGGCCCCCAAAATTCTTCCAAAAGCGTACAGTGGCTGCCTGTTTCTCTGCCTGATAGCTCTGAAACCATTGCATACATCCAACCCTGTGTGCTGAAAATCCACCTCAATCTGTGGGGACGAGATTTATTGCAACAATTACAAGCTACCATTCAATTTAATGAGTAAGCTTGCACTTCCCCTCAACTGGAAATCTTCTGGTCGTGTCCTGGCTATACGTTTAATTACATTCCAGCATACATCAGCCATGGCACACCTTGCTGTTTAAGCCGTTTGCCCATCATTTTACCCAAGAAGCATCATTTATCCCGCCCTCGATATCGCCGCTCTGAAAAATTGACTAACGATTGTGATGCTTTTGTTTCTTTTCTCAGTAGGTCTGAATATATCTTTTTAGCTGTTTCTCTCTTAGGAGTCTCTTAGAAGTCCCTGGATTGGCTGTACGGAATCGTATGAACATTAATTCTTTAGCTTATTCTGCAGAAAAAGCCCTGAATTTTACTTCACAAGTTCTTCACCTTTTGAATAAAGAACAGAGTGGACTATATAATGGACTTTTACAAAATCGTGCTATCGATTATTTGTTCATGTTTCATCACTACGGCTGTGAACAAGTGGACAACATGTGTTGTTTTAATATTACAGATAATTCTAAAGCTATTCAAAGCCAGATTTCTCATTTGCAAAATCTTACACACCACATTAAACAAGACGTTGGATTTTCTGGCCTCTGGGGTTCTTTCACCCAGTGGCTTACTGCTTGGCTACCTAATCTTACTTGGCTTCGTAATCTCTTTCAATATGCCCTTGTCATTATATGCATCTTAATTTTGTTATGTTGCTTCCTCCAATGCGTTCCTGGCCTCATAAGTCTTTTCTCTCGGCTTCTCTCCCCCCCTCAACCACCTAATAAACTCCTTGCTGCCTACTTTGCGAAATGGCAACACCAACAGTAAACTTTTGGGGAGAGGTGGGTAGACTTATTTTGGGTATGCGCTGGCAAACCACGTATCCCGAAATATTTTTGTCCCATCGACCCTGGCGAACTTATTTTGGGCATTTGTTGGCACACCACTAATCCTGAAATATTTTTGCCTTATTTACCCAGAATGCCTCGCAAACAAGAAAAGAAAGGGGGAGATAAAGGGAAGTTTTCCTTCTGCCCATACCTGCTGCATTTTGGAGAAGCCTTGCACCTTTTCTCTTGCATTCTGGAAAGTCTTGCTTATAATCTTTTCCCTGCTTTTGCACACACTGTACAGTTCTGTTCCAAACACCAGGACATTCTTTTCCTTGCTCAGTCCACCCTAAGTTCATGATGACTTGTTCTTTATGCCTAGCTGACCACATCTACAGAACTTGGTTGTTATATTGTTTCGTGCCATATTATTCTCTAGTTACAATTTAATTAGGAGGCTTCACGCCTGTCTAGTTCTAGCTTCGATTCCCAGCCTTTAATCCATCGATAATAAATGATCACACGTAATCCCCATCTCTCACATGTAATTCCCGCCTTATGCTTATGTATCAACCAATCAGCAACAAGCACACCTGTGGCAATGTTTGTAATATTCAATAAAAGAGGCTCCCAGGGTCCGCCCTGACCAGACGCCTCATGTTGCACCTGCCTCTCTCGTCTCCTGTGATTTTTCATTCCTACATCTGACGTCTGCTTAATGATTGAAACTAAGACCTTCACGTCGAATCTGACTATGGACTAACATGAACTTGTCTCTACTCACAAACTCTTATCTCTAATGCTGTAACGAATGATTGTCTTATACATATCCTTATGAGTTTGAGTTTGTAATCTCTGTTTGAGTTAGTAAACCTTTGTCAGAATACATACAGCACTTTCGAATGGATTAGTTTTTGTTACAATTGACTATTGATTTGCGAGTAGGGACCACTCCCACTACTAAAACTGATATTGGCCAGCATTCTTGGTGTGCTTTTTTAAAGGACGAAGGACCGCCAAGAACATGCCAAGGAGCAAGGAGTGACAAGACTCAGAAAAGTAGCAGGAAGAGTATATAAGAAGACTTTTCAGACTGGTTGCGCTTTCCTAGGGTACACGGCGTCTCATATATGTTAAACAACAGATAAAAGAACCTGTTTGGTCATATAACAGAGCCAACTCCTATGCGCTGAGGTCCCTTCGGCCCCCTTGATGAAATATCTCAGGGGGTCGACCCCACAAAGCTTATGGACATTGCCTTTCAAATGGGTGTTTGCCACATCATGGGATCAATTGTGCAGGGTGGGGTTTACCCCCCGACATTTAATTTATCCGAAAGCAGCAGCAGCAGCCCTCCCGCACCCCCTCGGTTGGCACTGTGGGTTAAACCACAGAGCCTAGGGCTTGCCGATCGGAAGGTCGGCGGTTCGAATCCACATGACAGGGTGAGCTCCCGTTGCTCGGTCCCTGCTCCTGCCAACCTAGCAGTTCGAAAGCACACCAGTGCAAGTAGATAAATAGGTACCACTCCGGTGGAAAGGTAAACAGCGTTTCTGTGCACTGCTCTGGTTCACCAGAAGCGGCTTAGTCAGGCTGGCCCCATGACCTGGAAAAACTGTCTGTGGAAGCGGACAAACACTGGCTCCCTCGGCCAGCAAAGCAAGATGAGCGCCGCAACCCCAGAGTCGTCCGTGACTGGACCTAACGGTCAGGGGTCCCTTTACCTTTTACCTTTTAGCAGCACCCCTCCCGCACCCCCTCAGTTGGCGCTGTGGGTTAAACCACAGAGCCTCTTGGGCTTGCCGATCAGAAGGTTGGCAGTTCAAATCCCCGCAATGGGGTGAGCTCCAATTGCTCTGTTCCAATTCTGCCAACCTAGCAGTTCGAAAGCACATCAAAGTGCAAGTAGATAAATAGGTGCCACTCTGGCGGGAAGGTAAACGGTGTTTCCGTGCGCTGCTCTGGTTTGCCAGAAGCGGCTTAGTCATGCTGGCCACATGACCCAGAAAAACTGTCTGCAAAAGTGGACAAACGCTGGCTCCCTCGGCCAGTAAAGCAAGACGAACGCTGCAACCCCAGAGTCGTCCACGACTGGACCTAATGGCCAGGGGTCCCTTCACCTTTTACCTTTTAGCGGCACCCCTCCCGCACCCCCTCGCTCCCACTCACCCATCTGCCAGCCATAGTTGAAGTTGGTGGTGACAGGAAAGGTATATTTGTCCTCCGGGTTCACGAGCAGGCGCAGCTTCAGGTAGCGCTTGCGCCCTTCGTCCTCGTGCGAGATGCCCTGGTACAGGAGGTTGCGCAACTCCCGAGGCGCAGGCCTCATTTCCATCTCCAGGATCGCGGCGTCCACCCCGGTCAGGTCTCGTTCCCGCGCCAGCCCTGCGGGGGCTGCCGTGAAAGGCGGAATGGGGCGCTGGGGGGTTACGTCCAGTGGGGCTGGCTTGACGGAGGGGAGCCGTAAGGTGTTGTCCATGGCCTTCTTCCGACGCTCCCTCTGTGCCTGCTGCTTGGCCTTCACGATGGCGCCGTACTTCTGGTGCCAGCGGTAGCGCGTCACGAGCTCTTTGTTGTACTCTTCCTTCCAGAAGTTCTGCTGTAGGGTGTCCATGTTCAGTGGCCGCGCCATGGCTGGCTAAAGGACCTGTGGGCAGCGCCCAGGACTGTCCTCGATGCCACAAGCCGGCCGGTGAGCCAGAGTCAGGGTGCCAGGGCTGGGCGTCCCTGGGGAGACCTTCTTGGGGTAGGCAGCGCCTCACAGATGCTTCAAGCAGCCCCTTGTGATGTCATGGGTCTCCCCAGCCTCCTGAAAAAGGCATTGGTGGGGGGCAAAGGGACCCTGAGCGGTGGCCCAGCTATGCCGCTATCTGGACAGGGATAGCCTAACTCAGGGGTAGGCAAACCAAGGCCCAGGGGCCGGATCCAGCCCAATCGCCTTCTCAATCCGGCCCACGGATGCTCTTGGAATCAGCATGTTTTTACATGAGTAGAATGTGTTCTTTTATTTCAAATGCATCTCTGGGTTATTTGTGGGGCCTGCCTGGTGTTTTTTACATGAGTAGAAGGTGTGCTTTTATTTAAAATGCATTTCTGGGTTATCTGTGGGGCATAGGAATTCATTCATTCACTATATTTTTCAAAATATAGTCCGGCCCCCCACATGGTCTGAGGGACGGTGGTCTAACCACTTTGTGACCTGGGACCTCCAAAGTGTTGTTATTTGTGGGACCTTCTGACATTCTTAAGAGTATTGTTCAGAATAGCGGTTTAGAAGACATACTAAGGAGGATAAAAACTCAATGAAATTCAAAACATTGACGATCAGTTGCACATTTATTCAAAACCAATTTAAAACTATGTAGTGAATTAATTCGACAAGATTTGATCCTGGTGATACATCAGAGCGAAGGAAATTCAGAGCATAGAATCTTTACATATAACTCTGTACCAAGATGTGCAGTCCTTAATTTTGAAGGTTGTCATATTTCAAAAAGTGAAAGTCTGGACACAAAAGTTGTTGAGCTTTATATATATACTATATTTGAACCTTTTGAGCTATTTTTAAGGAAAATCTCAACCCAAAAACAAACAAACAAACACATCTGACATGGGTTGCCCTAGACTCGAATTTCCTCAGACATTTAAGCCTATTTTTGAAAAATCCGCTTAGATGTTATTTCTAACCAGCGAACCTGGGAAATTCCGGACGCATGGGAGCCCTAAAATGATGAAGTGGAGCAGTGCTTTTTTTCTGGGGGGATGCAGCGGTACACATGTTGTTGTTGTTGTTTAGTCGTTTAGTTGTGTCCGACTCTTCGTGACCCCCTGGACCAGAGCACGCCAGGCCCTCCTGTCTTCCACTGCCTCCCGCAGCTTGGTCAAAGTCATGCTGGTCGCTTTGAGAACACTGTCCCACCATCTCGTCCTCTGTCGTCCCCTTCTCCTTGTGCCCTCCATCTTTCCCAACATCAGGGTCTTTTCCAGGGAGTCTTCTCTTCTCATGAGGTGGCTAAAGTACTGGAGCCTCCGCTTCAGGATCTGCCCTTCCAGTGAGCACTCAGGGCTGATTTCCTTCAGAATGGAGAGTTCTGATCTTCTTGCAGTCCATGGGACTCTCAAGAGTCTCCTCCAGCACCAGAATTCAAAAGCATCCATTCTTCGGCGATCAGCCTTCTTTATGGTCCAGCTCTCACTTCCATACATCACTACTGGGAAAACCATAGCTTTTACTATACGGACCTTTATATACGGACATACCCGTAAACATTTTGTAAATATCTGTTCTTTTGCCCATTTACTGTATTTTCCCCAAATTGAACTACAAAATGGTGGTTTTCTTGAGTCAAAAATGAGAGTACCCCTAAACATAATTTTTTTAAAGAAAGAAAGCACTTAAGAGGAGAAAGGCTGCAATTAGTTCTTTGCTCTGAAGATGCGAAAAAAACTCATTCCCCAAACAGTCCGGCCAAATCAAGGAAAAGAAATCAAAAAGGCGTCTAGTTAACCTGGAGTAAAAACAACCCATGTGTCACTCTGCATTTTCTTATCTCTGTGGAAGAGGCTGCCCTTCCGCCCTTTCTCCGTAAGGCTTCTCCACCCGCCACCACGCAAGCGCCGCAGGAGGGCACCGCCCCCGCGAGCACCGCGCCTGCGCCGCCCCTCCCCGCGGTCCCCCCCCGCCCGCTGCATAAACCCTCTTACGGCGGCTGCGCGGGGCCATTCTTCGCGGAAGCGCGCTCCTCGTCCTCGTCAGTCCGCAGCCATGGCCGGCCGGGGGAAGCTGATCGCGGTGCTGGGCGACGAGGACACCGTGACCGGGTTCCTGCTGGGCGGCGTCGGCGAGCTCGACAAGCACCGCCGCCCCAACTTCCTGGTGGTGGAGAAGGAGACGGCGCTGGCCGAGATCGAGGACGCTTTCCGGTGAGGGCCGCGGGGGGGGGGGGCGGTTGCCGGGGAGACGGCGCGGGAGAGACCAAGGCCTCCCCCCAGGGACCGGGGGGGGGTCCTCGGGAGAGACCATTCTGCGGGCACGGGGGGGTGTCCTCTGTGTGTGTGTGTGTGTGTGTGTGCACGCGCGCGTGTATATATGTGTGTGTGCGTGTATGCAAATCTGCAATAACAGATTATGTGTGTGTATGTATGTATATATATATATATATATATATATATATATATATACACACACACAGTCGTACCTCGGGTTACATACGCTTCAGGTTACAGACTCCACTAACCCAGAGATAGTACCTCGGCTTAAGAACTTTGCTGCAGGATGAGGACAGAAATTGCGCGGCAGCAGCGAGAGGCCCCATTAGCTAAAGTGGTGCTTCAGGTTAAGAACAGTTCCAGGTTAAGAACGGACCTCCGGAACAAATTAAGTACTTAACCCGAGGTACCAAAGTATATGCAAATCTGCAAGAACAGATGTGTGTGTGTGTGTATATACAGTGGTACCTCGGGTTACAGACGCTTCAGGTTACAGACTCCGCTAACCCAGAAATAGTGCTTCAGGTTAAGAACTTTGCTTCAGGATGAGAACAGAAATCACACAGCGGTGGCAGCGGGAGGCCCCATTAGCTAAAGTGGTGCTTCAGGTTAAGAACAGCTTCAGGTTAAGAACGGATCTCTGGGACGAATTAAGTACTTAACCCGAGGTACCACTGTATATGCAAATCTGCAAGAACAGATATATGTGTGTGTGTGTGTGTGTGTGTATATATATATATATATGTTTATGTATGTGTATGTTTATATATATATATATGTTTAACAAGCTCCATTATCCGCTTGTTCGCCTTCTCTGAATTTTATTGACGTTCCCCGCCTTTTCCCTCTCCTCCGAGGAGCCCCATAGGGGCATTTACGTGGCTCCCCACCCCCCATCTCATCCCCCCCAACAACAGCCCTGCAAGGTAGGGTGCACTGAGAGATGCATAGGTTGCCCGGCAAGGTCACCCCCAGTGACCTTTCTTGGCCGGCTGGTGGGATTCGAACCAAGGGCCTGGTTCTCATAAATGTGGCTTGCTTCTGTCATCGTCTGTTTCCTGTTTCTTACATTTCAGATGCTCTGCCACGCAGCAGTGGCCCTTCCCAAAGCAGAGGGGGAAACGGACAGTGGGGAGGGGGGGTCCTGGGCCCTAGAGCTTGTGCACCCTAGGGGCACAGGTGGCGCTGTGGGTTAGACCACTGAGCCTCTTGGGCTTGCCGATCAGAAGGTCAGGAGTTCGAATCCCCGCAACAGGGTGAGTTCCCGTTGCTCAGTCCCTGCTCCTGCCCACCTAGCAGTTTGAAAGCACATCAAAGTGCAAGTAGATAAATAGGTACCTGCTCTGGCGGGAAGGTAAACGGCGTTTCCGTGCGCTGCTCTGGTTCGGCTTAGTCATGCTGGCCTCATGACCCAGAAGCTGTACGTACTGCCGCGACGGGAAGGTAAACGGCGTTTCCATGCGCTCTGATTTCCGTCACGGTGTCTCATTGCGCCAGAAGCGGTTTAGTCCTGCTGGCCACATGACCCGGAAAGCTGTCTGCGGACAAACGCTGGCTCCCTCGGCCTGAAAGCGAAACGAGCACCGCAACCCCATCTGAACCCAGGCCTCTGAGTGCAACCCAGCAAAAGCCGACCATATTTACGCTCCACTGCAATTTCGTAGTACTTTCCAAGGCTTGCGTTGCAGTCATTTCAGAGCAACGTTGTCTCCTGAAGTCTGTGATTCCTGCATTGGACTAGATCAGTGGTTCCAAACCTTTTTTTGACCATGCCCCACCTAAGCATCTCTAAAATCCTGATGCCCCCCCCCCCCCGAAACATAATTCTTATTATTCGAAAAGCGAACTCCTATTCACGTGGAGGAAACCTGAAAGGCCGGTCACTGTTAATAACTCATTCTCGAATAGCCCCTCTTAAAAAATTGAATATTTATGTCCCAACCCTGCAATTCTAAGCCCCTTGTCTGCAATTGATCTTGAATGGCCGTCTTTTGTGGACATGCAGGCATGTCCAACAGGTGGATCATGATCTAATGGTCGATCACTGGACGTCTGTGGTAGATCATTGGCTCCCCTAAGAAAAAGCTCAACCACTTTGCCCTGCACCCCAAAAAGGGGGGTAGATCACTGCCAGTTTTTAACTCTGTGAGCAGTCTCTTGGGAGTTGCTGTACAGCAAAGGGAATGGGTGGCTTTCTCTCTCCCCCCACCCCTTTCCGGAAGAAGCTGGGTTCAGGCAGTGCTCTGTTTACACACAAGCACCCTGTCCCAGCCAGGCCCTTCGGATCCGGCCGCAGCCGCCCTCCACCAGCCCTCTCTGCTCCTTGGCACCCAACAAAGGACCTGCCTGCTCTTCTGTGACCTTGAGGAAGCTCCTTGCAGCGGATCCTTCTGTTGGATGTGCCCTTTGCTGACCCGGGAGGCTGGTGGCTCTGTGGCAGGCAATTTATCCAACCTTGGCCGGTGCATACGAAGCAGGGAAGCCTTACTGGATGTGGGGTGTGTAAATATGCCTGCCAACAAGAAGTAGCAGTAAGAAAAGATAAGAAGAAATGTAATAATATTGGAATTAGCCCCATAGGTTATACACCGTACATATGAACTGTATATGTTGTACATACAGTGGTGCCTCGCAAGACGAAAAGAATCCGTTCCACGATTCTCTTCGTCTAGCGGTTTTTTCGTCTTGCGAAGCAACCCCATTAGCGGCTAAGCGGATTAGCGCTATTAGCGATTTAGCGGCTTAGCGGCTAAACTGTTAAAAGGCTATTAACGGCTTAGCGCCTTAGAAAAAGGGGGGGAAGCGGGGGGGAAATGGCGAGACTCGCAAGACGTTT